TGCTAAGCCTCAACTTCTGCATCGAGAAAAGCAGGGTAACCAATCTCATAAGGTCGCCGAAAATCATGGAGTTGAGAGCTCCGTGTAAAATGCTTAGCACAGTACCTGGCATTTGGTAGGTGCTGAACAATCATGACAGTGGTAATGTTGGCGATGATGGTGGCTTTAGAGTTCAGCTAGGGTCTGGACAAGAACGTCAGATAAAGCTTGCTTATTTGGTTGTTTATTCACCCATTGAATCATTCACCAGTCATTTAATACACACCAGAAATTGTTCCAGGTGTCTGGAATTTGGGAATATCACACAGAAAAGAAAGGATAAAGCACAGTTTTATAGACGGGCCAGTGGAGCTAAGAAAAGCGTACCACGAGTGGAAGGCTCCATAACTAACTTCCGCTCATCAGTAACATAACATGATCAATCCACGGTCAGTAAGACCACTTCTAGACGACGCCTGTGTGAAGATCAAATCCACTGACACCTTTTCTCCCTGGTCACTACCGACTTAGATATGAAGGAAGTTAGCAGTGATGGCAGCGATAGATGGCAATAAGAAATATTACTTATGAAGTATGATAGACTATAGTCGATTCTGAATTACCCACTCTGCTGCCAGGGGCTTGATTCTTCCTTAATAGATATTCTGGTGCAAAACAAAGTGCTCTGAAGTGCCTTGGAGTTCTGACGCTTGCTTTGAGTGTTGATTTGACCACATCCTAGCTGTGGAAACTTATGCATGTCCTATATTCAGGATTGTGAAACTGGCTGAGCTAATGGGAATGCATACAGTGCAGTAGATAAGAGTGAATATGTGTTGGGTGTTTTCAGATCCTCTCTCCACCATGTTTCACCCAACCCATAGGGAGACTGCTTCAAGGGGCTCCCTTGCCTCCGTCTTCTGGTTGAATTTGCTAAAGAGGAGGTTCTAAGCGAGTAAGAGGAAGGTGTTATCAGAGCATTTATCTCCTCGTACACCTTCCATTCCTTTGTAATAATCCCTTTATGAAACTTACAGAATTTCCCTATTTGTTTGTGCCTCTTGTTTCGTGCCAGGATCTTGACCTGATCATGTGGGTTCAGCTGTTTCAATCTGGATTCAAATTTGCCCCCATCTCTTCCTAGCCATGTGGACTTAGCCTATTAATTAACCTTTCTTGCCTCAATTGATCTATTGTTTCAGGCTTGGGATTGTTGCAGAATCTGTGTGGAGCATAATAGGCATTTAATACATGATAATGATTAATATGTATAAAATGTTTTATCAAATCTCAACTACTACATTTGTGGAAGATCAGTTGATGGCAATGGTTTTATTAAAAACTATATTGATGTCCTCCAGTGACTATTATGGAGGAATTAGGAAAGAAATATTGTGCAGAAAAAAAATAGCATCAGATATTAAATTGACACAGGATTCTTTGATAGTCAGAATTCAGGACAGCCTCCATTCATACTCATCTGCTACTCATGCTTTTGTGCAGCTCTCTCTCGTGTTGAATGAGGCTTGCCTGAGAAATGATAGGATGCTGCAGAAATGAAGGTGTATAGATTCTGAGTTGGGGGTCATAAAAGATACTGTGGCTTCTTGGAGCACTCATTCTGGAGAGTGTCAGCTGTCCTATCATGAGGATTCACAAACAGCCCTATGAAGAAATCCACATGAAAAGGAAGTGAGGCCTCCTGCCAATAGCCAGGACAAATGTTGAGGGACATGTGAGTGGTTCTTCCCCAAAGTGGATATGTCAGCCTCAGGCAAGCTTAAGGTGCTAACAGATTCTACAATGTCTTGAGATGCTGTGACATCTCATGAGAGATGCTGAGCCGGAATCACCCAACCAAGCCACTCCTAAATTCCTGACCCATCAGAACTATGTGGGGTGTGAAATGTTTATTGGTATTTTAAACTGCTGAGTTTTGAGGTGATTTGTTGCACAGCAAAAGATAGCTTATTAATTTCCCTTCATCCCAACGTATCTATTGAATACTCAGGAATCTGGTTTAAAAAAGTGAAGGCTGAACTTCTAGATAATAATGAATTTAAATATTTTAGACTCATGGGAGTCAATACACCATCATCTACTGTTCTAATGAAAAAACAGCAACATTGTTGCCTGACTCTTGGCGGACAGACCATTTCATCTTGGCCTGAGCATAGGTGAGCTCTCAGCAGAAGACAGCTTCCACCATAACCCTGGAGCTCTCAGTATAATGTAATTATTTTTGGAAATGGGAAGCTACTCAATGAGTTTAGTATGGCTTTTACTGTTCTCTGTAGTATTAGTACTGCACAATATAACCATTTCATTAATGTTTGAACATTTCAGTGATGTCTACTTCTAATCCTTTCATACTCTTTCTTATGTACAAGTTAGACAAAGCCTACTTACTTGGCTTCTTTCATTTATCCTTTAATCTTCATGCATAAATCAGTTGGCTCATCTTCTTACCCAGTTATTCCAGTTCTTTGAACTTCTTCCAATTGTATCAGGAAGAAAGGAATTCCCTACTGAGCAGTGTGGCTTGACCACGGCACTATTTCAGCAATGTACTGAATACGTGCCTGCAGTGCCATTCATTTATTTTTCAAGACAAGGTAACTCCTAAAAATGGCAAAAATCTGGGCTTTAAAAACTATTGTGTGTTGTTAAATGTGTTCCAGTAAAACATGCTGGGGCTACCAAAGGTTCAAGATACAGAAACTAGAACTCAAGTTTGCTATTTGGGGGAGCAGGGAAAAATGAAGAGTAAAAGGTGAAAAGATTAACCAGTTTCCTAGGATGACAAGTTTTTAATTTTTCAAGATCTGTCCTTTTGGAGTATTTCACCCAAATATTGAATTCAAAGCTATTTTCCACTAAAAAAAAAATTCTTTTGATATGTTTGTCAAAAATATTCCCCCAATGAACTCTGTCCTGGGGGCATCATTTAACTTCTGTGTCTTTCAATGTATTCATAACTAAAACGGGAATACACTCCTTCTGTGGGGTAAATGGAAGTTTTCACCCAGAGTTTCTAGAATCTCCCACCTGACCTTAGTCTGTTTACATGCCAGTGGATGTTTCAGAACCTCAGTTGGATCTGGGGAAAAGGGTGGAGAGAAAACGGCCATTCTTTCCTCCCCTCTGTTGCTGGTATATAATTGGTCTGGGGTTTGTCAGTCACCACGGACCCGCCCATGGAATTCCTGCAGGAAGGGGCAGGTGATGGGGGGGCGGGGAGGACAGCATGCACTGCAGTTGCAGGAGATGGATGGGAGCGGGGAGGACAGCATGCACTGCAGCTGCAGGAGATGGATGGGAGTGGGGAGGACAGCATGCACTGCAGCTGCAGGAGACGGATGGGAGTGGAAAGGACAGCATGCACTGCAGCTGCAGGAGACGGATGGGAGTGGAAAGGACAGCATGCACTGCAGCTGCAGGAGACAGATGGGAGCGCGCTAGGAGCAACAAACCCCTTAACCCAAGCTGTCCTTCCCCTTGTCTTACTTCAGTTTCACCAATTCACGGGGAATTTGTTCTGGGAGGGGAATCTTCTTACTCCCAGAGCTTCCATTTCCTTTCTCAAAGAATTATTATCAGATAACCTTGGACATTTTATTTGTAAGTACTTTAAATATAATAACTTCACAGTTTTCAGATAGTCTTGAATAAGGACAGCATGCACTGCAGCTGCAGGAGACGGATGGGAGTGGAAAGGACAGCATGCACTGCAGCTGCAGGAGACAGATGGGAGCGCGCTAGGAGCAACAAACCCCTTAACCCAAGCTGTCCTTCCCCTTGTCTTACTTCAGTTTCACCAATTCACGGGGAATTTGTTCTGGGAGGGGAATCTTCTTACTCCCAGAGCTTCCATTTCCTTTCTCAAAGAATTATTATCAGATAACCTTGGACATTTTATTTGTAAGTACTTTAAATATAATAACTTCACAGTTTTCAGATAGTCTTGAATAAGCCAATGATGTTGAAATAAAATCCAATTATACACACAGGTCACTTACATGACAATAGGGATGCTTGAGATTAGAGTGGTATCAGGAGAAAATAAAGATTAACACACATATTTCTTGAGCATTAACTCCCAGGTTTTCACCTTAGATGTTTGTGTCAGGCTGCAAGGCTGAACTAATGTATCCAAATTCACACTGTCTTTCACAATCAAAAATATAATTTCATGTCGCATGAAGAATGCCATGTCCGAAAGGTTGGAGAAATATGCCTTTGAGCTGGTGGGCACTCCACTTCGAAGGCAGTCATCTGAATCAGCAATCTTAAGGACCTTGTTCCTCCGCTCAGAAACCGTTCCCTTCAAGCGGTTTTGGCAACTCACATTTGCATGCTAAGCTGAGTGCGTGGTTTCACAGTGGCCCATTCCATTACGCATGCAGACAGCAAATGCAAAGTCTGCCGCTCCATGAGCGCTCACAAGTCCTCTATAAAAGTCTGTTGGATTCTGTGGGCTCACTGTCTAGTATTAAGAGATGACAGCCATACTGTAGGCAGGAGAGGTTTTTGAACCAGTAATCACATGAGCTAATGTGTGCAAAGCCCTTCACATCACACCTGGGACAAATTAAGGTCTCAATACATAATGATAATAATAATAGTTAATATTCTCATGTAAATGCATCCTTTCTATGAAATATTTAAAAACAGCTCACCACGAGTATCATTTTTAATAGGAGCAATATGATCCCCCCAATACTACAGTCCCTGTAATTGTCCTTTAAAATCCCTTATACCAACCATGACTACCTACTTCTTCTTTTGATTGTCCCACTCAAAGAAAGAACACAACTCTAATACTCTTAGACTCTAATCTTTATATATTATTATTTTAAAACCCACATATTCAGTTCAGCTTCTCCGAGGGTGAGCACAGGTCAAAAAACACAAGAGAATCAGTCACCAAAACAGAAGGAAGAAGAAAACAAAATAAGCCTGAAGAATAAGTAGGTCTGCGCCTAACGAGAAAAGATAAAATGAAACCAGATGGAGATTTGTACCTTTATTTTTGTTTTACTGAGTGTCGCAGATAATTAAAAAAACATTTCCTCTGTGTTGGTTTTCCCGATCTCTTCTGTCACCTTCCCCCAAAATATTAGGCTAGACAGAGGCTGTCTGGGCTCTTCATCCTCTATCATCCTTTGCTTGAGAGAAACACATGCTTTTACGGCCAAGCTCTGAAAGGATCAGACAGAAGCTGAGTAAATATTTTCAAGATAAGCCTGGAGATCTTAACTGTTTCGAAATCATCAACAGACAAAGAGAGAGAGAGAGAGAGGGAGGGGCAGTTTCCTCTTCAAACATGTTGCTTACGACTAATGGGAGTGTGATTATGATTGATAGGCCCCAATCTTTGTCTTCAGGAATACTTACTGTGGTAGGAACTGACCAATATTTACATTGGACTTGAAGCCACATTTTATTTCATCTGGGGTCAAATATTCCTGAATGTAAAGTACATTCCTCAGACGGTCCTGTCTCCACTTCACCCCCACCCGGGTGTCTGAGAGTCCCACAACATCTCACAATGAATCTCACTTTATCATGCTTCCCAGCTTCAAAGTTCAGCAACAAAGGATTACTGGGCTGCTCCAATTCTAAGGTGGGTACCTGAGCGATAGGTGAGTACAGCATTATCATTCAAGCTCTGCAAAGTGTAAATGCAATAAACAGCTTCCTCATTGCATGCGTGCCCAATGCCTATTAAAGTGAAACGGTCTCCACATAAATCAAAAGAATGTGCTGAATGTATTTCAGACTTAGAGAAATCCTACTAATGTGGCCCTTTCAGGAAGGATTGTGACTGGAAAAAAAAGTGCTATATATGTAACTATTCCAGTTGATAAACAGAGGCTCGTTTTCTCAGTCCAGTTTGATATTCTGCTATCTGGAACAGAGAAGTTTCAGATCTATAGCTCTGTTGGAGAATTCTTTCCCTTTCTGGTTTCTGACACGTGCATTAAATTAAAGTGAAGAGAACCAGGCAACCCTTGAGATTAAACAGAAAGAGCATTCTAATGAGAGTTTTGGAAGACCTGTCAAAGCTAAATCCATGCTTCCAGTTTGATAACCAGTGGCTTTATGAGAAAGAGAATAGAGGCGAGCTCAGGGTGAAGGATATTATCAAGGTTACTTCGAGATTAAAGATTGGCACCAAAATGTTCCACCCTGCCTGAAATTCCTTGCTTTCCATTCTTTAAAACTACTCCAACTGTTCTTATCATAATCTTATCGTAATCATCTGTGGCTTCCTCGGGATAAGCCATGGCCAGTTATTCATTTGAGACAGTCCATGACTCCTTTCTTCAAGGCTTCCAGAATATTATAATACCTGGGTTTCCTCCTGTCTTTCTAGGATTTCCTGGTGTCTTTGCTTGTTCCTTCTCATCTCTGCCATCTCTAAATCTAGACATGTTCAAGGTCCTGCTTTTGGATCTCTTTTCAGTCTACCCGGACTCCTTCAGACATGCTGATGATGCATACATTTATCTCCCAGCCAAATCTTCTCCCTGCAAATCTAGATTCATACTTCCAACTGCCTATCTGAAATTTCCACTGGGGTGGGTAATGGAAATCTCAAACTATGAATGTACGTGTTAACTTATGGTATGCTCTCCAAAATCCTTCCTACCTCAATTAAGGACGATTCTCCCCCTCTAGTTGCTCAGCCAAATATTTTGTAATCATCTTTGACTCCTCTCTTTCTCTTATATATGGCATCTAAGAGCAAATCTTGGCTTTAACTACAAAATGTATACTGCTTGTAACTGTTTCTCATCATCTCCAAGGCAATCACTGTGACCCTCCACCATTATCCTATTTTCTGTAAGAGGCACCTCTTCCTTATTTCCCTGCTTTGCCCTTACAGTCTTTTACAAATACAACAGCCAAAAGCATCTTTGAAAAATATCTTAAGATCATGTTATCCCTCTGAAAAATTTCTGGTGTCTTCCCATCTCAGTGAATAAAAACCAAGTCCCTACCGATATGCCACTCTTGTTCCTTCACTCAATTCTTATTCTTGTCTATTTATGCCAGTGGTCTCCTTGCTCTTCTTTGAATATGCCAGGCACACTTGTGCCTCAGGGCCTTTGCACTTGCTGTGCCTTCAGCCTGGAACACTCTTCATTAAGATGTTTGCATGGCTCTTTCTCCCAGCTCCTTCAAATCTAATTTTACCCCAAATCTCCAAAGCACTGAACTTCACCCCATTTGCCTCATTGACTTTATGCCATGGCACGTATCTTAATTAAATGAGGTTTAAATTTACTACTTGCTTTGTGTCACACATACCTCCTCCCACTGGAATCCATGCTTGCTGAGGCTATGATGACTGTCCGCTTTGCTCAATGCTGCATTTCTCTGTATGTAGAAGGTACTCCATGACGTTTGCTGAATGGATGAATAAAAGTAAAGTTAAGGTTTTGTTTGTCACTGTTTCCATCCCAATTTCCTTCACAATTGATTGCCTTTGCTACAACTGGATGTGCATTATCTATCTTAAGGCACCTACTGCCCTTATGTTCAAGGCTGAGCTTTTTCAAGATCCAGTGTGCCTTAGCAGAAAGCTCTGTGATTCTTTCCATTAAATATAATGGTGTCTCCCTTTCCCCTAAGGACTGAGAAATCAATTCATATTCAGCTGTCATGAACTGATGAGAAACTGAATGTACTAGAGTCCTTCCTGGAGGAACTGGCATTTTAAGACTGGTTGCTGGAGATGAAGTGTCCCATAATATGAAGTATGTGTCTGCTATTATGAATGCAGTCCTTATACAAGCAAATAACAGAACAACCTTCAGAAGGGGAACATTCCATAGTATTCCCTGAGATCAGTTATAATGTCACAACAAGCACAGAAGACTGGAATCTGGTGTGAAGATAAAATCATAACTTTCACTATACACTAGCCAACGCCTTACCCAGAGAAAACCTCTACATACATGATCAATGTTCTACCTTCTCTGCTCCGTCTCCTGCTGCTGAGTAGCTTGGGTGTCATATGCTTTCAGATTTGATGTCTGTACAGTTTCCTTCCTGTCGGGAGTCCTTGTTACACAAACTCAAATACACCCTTTAACCAAAGAGAAGGCTCATTTCTCCTCTTTATCTGCAGCAGAGGTGATTTGAGTGTTGAACAGATGGATCTTTTCACTCACAAGACTGACAAATCCCTTTAGGTCCATAAAGTTCCAGAAGGACTTTCCATCAGGATTAGATCTGAGGCTCTTTATACATGGACGTGGCTTTAGAGATGTTGCCAAACTCTAAGTTGAAAATGTTTTTAACAGGCAGTAATGGAGTTAGGATCTTTGCTTCTTTCCCAATGTCAAACTGAATCTTATTAGCCTTTTCTTGGGCTCACAGGCCAGTGTGAACTTTTTAAATCCAGTCTCTGCGAACTCCATCTGGAGGCCTGTGCCCTGCACCCAGTGTGCCCTTGAGGAGAGGTAGTTATGTGTCTCACAGCTCTCTTACGTACAGGTCATTAACTTCACACTTTGCAACACCGTAGGGTCTGGAAGCACTCCTTCGCCCTGCTATGTGAACCACTATTTCTATAAGACACAGCTATTCATCGATAGGATGCTCTACCCCTAGTCATGACATTTGCGTATCAATTTCCTTGTCACTTTATACATTAACATAGTCTTGCTTGTCTTTCCCATGAGCCTTCATGATCCTATGAAACTTGCATATTCATCCACATAGATGACTCATTCAGCTGTGGCCTCACAGGGCATCCTTCCTTAATATTCAAATGATGTCCACCCTTCTTCAAAGATCCACTTTCCTCACAGTATTTTTGAGATGTTTCTCCTGACTCCTTTAAACTTTAATACCATCCTTCTATCAACCTCTAACCTTCATTCGTGAATCCATCCAACAACCATTTATCAAGCATCAACTATGTAACCCCTGGAGACACAACAAGGAAACGAAACCACAGGCTCCCTGCCTTCATGGAGCATATTTTCTAGTGGAAGAAGCCAAAACTACCTAAAATAGTCATAAGTATTTTTGTGAAACTGTGTAAGCACAATCTGAGGTAAGTAAGAAGAGAATGAAGGATAGGCTACTCTGAGACCCTACAACAGAGAACCCAAGCGTGGTTCGGAGCGCAAGGGAAGACGGCTCGGATAAAATCACTATTGCGTTGATTACAAGATGAGCAGGAGTTAACCAGACAGAAGTTATTTGCGGACAGAGAGGGTGACTTCTCTCAAAGAACAGTGTGGCTGAAGTTCCACCCTCGGGGACATCCTGGTTACCAAGCAGTGGGGGAGACCCTGGGAATAGGGTACGAACAAATAAGCGTCATCTGTCACTGCTCAGGCCTTGTGTAGATACGCATGTCCACAGGTTATCACTTTCCTTCAGGCTCATGAACTTCACTTAACATTTCATGTAATGCAGTTCTGCCAGCGGTGATCACCTTTTTTGGTCTAAAAATTCTTCATGCTGTCTTTGTTTTTGAAGAACTTTTTAAAAAGATATAGGGTGTTAGGTCAACAGATATTTTGTGTGTTTATTATTCTTCCAACACTTTTAAGATGGCATTTCTTTGTCTCCTGGCTTTCACTGTTTCTGTTGAAATTGGCAGCCGTTCTTGTCACTGTCTCCTGTGTATACCTCCCCTCCCGTGATTTTAAGGTTTTTCTCCCACCATTTTTGTGTTTTATTTTAGCAGTTTGATGATGATGTGTCTTGCAATGGTTTTCTATTTATTCTATGGGCTTTTCCTGAGCTTCCTGAACCTGTTAGTTTATATATTTTAGCAAATTTGGAAACGCTTCCATTGTTTTTTCTATAAATGCTTTTCCTGCCCTAATTTCTCTTTCTAGTACTCCAAGTACATGAACATTCAATTGATCTTGTCCCATGGGTCACTGAAACATGGCTCAGTTTTTCACCTTTTATTTTTCTCTTTGTCATTCATTTTGGCTAGATTTCATTGCTTTCAAGTTTGCTGGATTTTTAAGTCAGAAAAGTTCTTACTATGCAAAGGCTAAATAAAATAAAATGAAAACAAAACAATACTTAGGTGTACCTGTGGAATCTTAATATCAAGCCATTCATTCACCTCCTTCTATCACTTAGTATTCCAACTCTGGGTATTATACCTGAGTAGAAATTGTTCCCTGACATTTGCATCCAGAGGTACTGGATATAAATCCTACTCTATTCCTTTGGCGATGTTACAAAGATGATAGTTCTTCAGTTTATTTTTGTTTGTCTGTCTCCTTTTCCCCTTTCTTCTTAATATTTTCTTTATCTAAAAGTTACAAAATACCGAATAGAAAGGAAAAATTGCAATCTGACTAACCAGAGACTACTCACTGGAACATGTAAACAAAAATACACATACTATACAATCTATGATTTTAACCATGTTTAAGTGTAAAGCTTTGTGGCATTAAGTACATTTATATGGTTTTCCGACCATCCCTACATCATTCTTCAGGGCTTCTTCCTCACCCTCCATTATTATAGTTTCCTGCATACATTAGAGTCTCCTGCCTTGTTAATAATTCAACCTTAGTTGAATAATATCGATTATATGTACCTGCCATATTTCGTTTATCCACTTATCCATCAATGGACACTTGAATTGTTTCCATCCTTTGGCTATTGTGAACGATATTGCTATGAATATGAGTGTGCATATATCTGTTGAGTCCCTAACTTTATTTATTTTGCGTATGTCCCCAAAAGTGGAATTGCTAGATCACATCTTAATTTGATGTTCGTTTTTTTGAGAATGAAGTTCACTGCTCTCTTATTCTGCAGGGTCTAACCAGCTATGCAATCTATCTAGCGGTCTTCTCATTGCAAGATTATATTGTGAACTTCTAAAATTTTCGGGAGTTTCTTTTTTTTGAATTTCCATTTTGCTTTTGGGACTGTAATTTTTCCTTCATTGTTTTCATATTTACTTAAAAATTTTTTTAGCCTATTTATAACTGTTTGTTTAAAGGCCTTATTTTCTAATTGTGTTATCTAATTTCTGAATCTATTTCTGTTTATTATTTCTTCTCTTGTGTGGGGTCACATTCACCTGCTTCTTTGGAGGTCTAATTATTTTTATTATGATGTCCCATGTTGTGGTTTTCTTTTGTCTATTCTACCTGGAACTTATTGAGCTTCTTGGATCTCTTATTTTATATTTTTCAGCAAACTTGAAAACATTTTTACTACTAATGTATACTGGACATGTGAATATCAAATTCTTGAGTGTTTGGACTCTGTTCACTCTTTATTGCATTTTGTTCTGGTAAGGAGTTAATTTCCTTTCATATCAGTTGTATCATTTTAAGATGGATCTTAATGCTTCATTAGGGTAGATCTAGCTATGCCCTTCTCCTAATGTGCGGTCTCAAATCTACGGCATAGAAAGTTCGTGCTGTTCAGTAAGATCCCTTCCCTCTAGCTGGGAGGAAATTAAAGGCTTCTCAGCCTCATCCAAGCTCTGATCATGGCTCAGCCCATAGCTCCACAGTAACTGTTCTTTACTTGGTACTGGGCTGGGCTCAGGATCATGGAATATCATCTCACCCATGTACAGCTTAGTGTCTGCCAAATCCTCAGTAAGATCCCTCTGCGGAGGGTCGGAGCATCTTCCGTGTACAGTCCAGTCCTCTCTAGCGCTCCGCAATTTCCAGCTGTGTGCATCAGGGACCCTGAGCTCTCTCTCTTCAACCCAGCAAACCATTGTTCCCTGACTGGGTTTCTCTCTCCTGCCCTGCAGAGCAGAAATACCCGCAGGCGGAAAGCCGAAGCAATCGTGGTGCTCACCGCGTTTGCTTCCCTCCGCGCAGGGAGCACCGAACTGCACTGTGGGATCCGACATCTGAAAACAGTAATTTCATATATTTTGTCTGGCTTGATGGTTGTTTATAATGGGAGGATTAATGCAGTGCGTTTTTACTCCATCATAGCCAGAAGCTGGAATCTCTCCTTTGTTTTTTCATTCTCAGTTTCTGTTGTCAGTTTTTAATTCCACCCTCTTCTTACATGCTCTTTGGAGTGTTATCTTTGGCCTTCTCCTCATTTGATTCACTCTCTAGGATGATCTCATCTGCTCCATGGCTTCAATATCATTAATATGCCAAATCTATATCCTCTGCCAAGCTTCTTTTTCCTACAATTCCAAATATGATATTCAACTGCCTATTGGACCTTCCAGTCAGAAGTGCTAAGACATCTCCAAGTCTATGTCCAAAACCAAATTCATCATATTGCACCATATGGGCCTGCCTTCCTATATTCTCAACTGCAGTGAACAGAGACACAACATACACCAGGCACGCAAATCAGAAATCTGGAGTTTGTCTCAGCTCCCTACTTCTCTCTAACCCTTTACATCCCATCAGTTACCGAGTCTCAGATTC